ACAACATACGAATAATAGGGGTGCCAGAACAACAGAAAGAGGAACAAGGGTTAGAAAACCTATTTGAAGAAATAATATCAGAAAACTTCCCAGAGGTGGGGAAGAAAAAAAATCACACAAGCACAGAGAGTCCCAAACAAGGTGAACCCGAAAAGACCCACACCAAGACACATCATAATTACCATGGCAAATGTTCAGGACAAAGAGAAAACCTTAAAGGCTGCAAGAGAGAGTCGGAAAGTTACATTCAAGGGATCTCCCATTAGATTATCAAATGAGTTCTCAACAGAAACACATCAGGCCAGAAAAGAATGGACAGAAATTTACAAAGTGATGCAAAGGACTGAATCCAAGAATACTCTATCCAGCAAGGCTATAATTCAAAATTGATGGGGAAATAAGAAGCTTCACAGACAAAAAAAAAAGCTAAGGGAGTTTATCACCTCCAAGCCAGCAATGCAAGATGCTAAAGGGACTGGTGTAAAAAGAAGAAATAGAAAGCTCAGAAAGAAAACAGCCACACAGAAAAAGAAATGGCTACAAACAAGTACCTTTCAATAATAACTTTAAATGTAAATGGACTAAATGCTCCAACCAAAAGACATTGAGTGGCTGAATGGATAAAAAAAAAATGACCCATACATTTGCTGTCTAAAGGAGACCCACCTCAGAAGAAGGGACTCACACAGACTGAAAGTGAAGGGATGGAAAAATATCTTTCAGGCAAATGGAAATGAAAAAAAAAGCTGGGGTAGCAATACTTATATCAGACAAAATAGACCTCAAAGTGAAGGCCATAACAAGAGATAAGGAAGGCCACTTCATAATACTAAAGGGATCGATACAACAAGAAGATATAACCCTGATAAACATATATGCACCCAATGCAGGAGCACCCAAATACATAAAAAAACTCCTAGAAGATATCAAAGGAGAGATCGACAACAATAGAATCATAGTAGGGGACTTTAATACACCACTGACAATACTGGATAAATCCTCTAGACAATCAGCAAAGAAACAGCAATCCTAAATGACTCACTAGATCAGATGGACTTAATTGACATCTTCAGAACACTTCACCCCAAAGCCACGGAATATACATTCTTCTCAAGGGCTCATGGGACATATTCAAAAATAGACCACATATTGGGTCACAAACAAAGTCTCCCCAAATTCAAGAAGATTTAAATCATACCAACATCTTCTCAGACCACGATGGTAAAATATTAGAAATAAACTACAATAAAAACAATCCAAAATACTCAAACACTTGGAAGCTGAATAGCATGGTATTAAATATTGATTGGGTTACCAATGAGATCAAAGAAGAAATTAAAACAATCCTGGAAACTAATGACAATGAGAACACAACAATCCAAAACCTATGGGACACAATGAAAGCAATCCTGAGAGGGAAGTTTACAGCTCTACAGGCCTATCTCAAAAAACAAGAAAAAAATGATAGTAAATCATCTAACTCTACAACTCAAAGAATTAGAAAGAGAGCAACAAGAAAATCCCAGAGTGAGCAGAAGGAAGGAGATAATAAAGATTAGAGCAAAAATAAATGACATAGAGACCAAAAAAACCAATACAGAAAATCAATGAAACCAAGAGCTGTTTCTTTGAAAGGATAAACAAGATTGACAAACCTCTAGCCAGGCTCACCAAGAAGCAGAGAGAGAGAGGACCCAAATAAACAAAATCAGAAATGATAGAGGCGAAATAACAACAGACCCCCCAGAAATACAAATGATTGTTAAAAAATACTATGGACAACTCTACTCCAACAAATTAGACAACCTGGAGGAAATGGACATATTCCTAGAAAAATACAACATCCAACACTCAATCAGGAAGAATCTAAAAATCTCAACAGGCCAATAACTATGGAAGAAATTGAAGCAGTCATCAAAAAGCTTCCATCAAACAAAAGCCCAGGACCAGATGGCTTCACAGGGGAGTTTTACCAAACATTCAAGGAAGAACTAAAACCTATCCTCCTCAGACTACTACAAAAAATCCAAGAGGAAGGAACACTTCTAAGCTCATTCTATGAAGCCAGCATCACCCTAATGCCAAAACCAGGTAAAGACAACACAATGAAAGAGAATTACAGGCCAATATCCCTCATGAACATAGATGTCAAAATCCTCAACAAAATCTTAGCAAATCAGATCCAGCAGTACATCAGAAAGATCATACACCATGACCAAGTAGGATTTATCCCAGGGATGCAAGGATGGTACAATATCCAAAAATCAATAAATGTGATATATCAAATAAACAAACTGAAAGAAAAAAAACACAGTCATATCAATTGATGCAGAAAAAGCAACTGACAAAATCCAACACCCATTTTTCATAAAAACTCTCAGCAAGGTGAGAATAGAAGGATCATACCTCAACATAATAAAAGCCATATATGACAAACCCACAGCCAACATCATACTCAATGGACAAAAACTAACACCATTTCCCCTAAGAACAGGAACAAGACAGGGACGCCCACTCTCACCACTCCTGTTCAACATAGTACTGGAAGTATTAGCCATTGTAATTAGACAAGAAGAAGAAATAAAAGGCATCCAAATTGGAAAAGAAGAAGTAAAACTGTCCTTATTTGCAGATGACATGATATTATACATAAAAAACCCTAAAGACTCCATCAAAAAACTATCAGACTTAATAAATGAATTTGGCAATGTAGCAGGATACAAAATTAACGCCAAGAAATCTATGGCATTTCTATACACCAATAGTGAACTTACAGAAAGAGAGACTAAAAAAACAATCCCATTTACCACTGCACCAAAAAAATTTAGCTACCTAGGAATAAACTTAACTAAAGAGGTAAAAGACCTCTACTTAGAAAACTACAGGACGTTGAAAAAAGAGATAGAGGAAGACATAAACAGATGGAAGAACATATCATGTTCTTGGATTGGTAGAATCAACATCATTAAAATGTCCATACTACCCAAAGCAATCTATAAATTCAACGCACTTCCCATTAAAATACCAATGGCATATTTCACAGGCCTAGAACGAACTCTCCAAAAATTCATCTGGAATAAAAAAGACCCCGAATAGCTGCAGCGTTCCTGAGAAAGAACAAAGTAAGTGGGATCACAATACCAGATATCAAGCTGTATTACAAAGCCACTGTTCTCAAAACTGCCTGGTATTGGCACCAGAACAAACATATAGATCAATGGAATAGAATAGAGAGCCCAGAAATCGGCCCGTACCAATATGCTCAATTAATACTTGACAAAGGAGGCAAGAACATACAATAGAGTCAAGATAGTCTCTTCAATAAATGGTGTTGGGAAAATTGGACGGATACATGCAAGAAAATGAAACTAGACCACCAACTTACACCATACACAAAAATAAACTCAAAATGGATAAAGGACTTAAATGTACGATGGGAAATCATAAAAATACTAGAAGAATCCAAAGGCAACAAAATCTCAGACATATGCCGAAGCAATTTCTTCACCGATACAGCTCCTAGGGCATTGGAAACTAAAGAGAAAATAAACAAATGGGACTACATCAAAATAAAAAGCTTCTGCTTAGCAAAAGAAACCATTAACAAAACAACAAGAAAGCTCACTGCGTGGGAAAACATATTTGCCAATGTTATATCTGATAAGGGCCTAATCTCCAAAATTTATAGGGAACTTATACAACTTAACAAAAGGAAGATAAACAATCCAATCAAAAAATGGGCAAAGGACCTAAATAGACACCTTTCAAAAGAGGACATTCAGAAAGCCAAGAGACATATGAAAACATGCTCAAAGTCACTAATCATCCGAGAGATGCAAATCAAAACAACAATGAGGTACCATCTCACACCTGTCAGACTGGCTATCATCAACAAATCAACAAGCGACAAGTGCTGGAGAGGATGTGGAGAAAAAGGAACACTCATGCACTGCTGGTGGGAATGCAGACTGGTGCAGCCACTATGGAAGACAGTATGGAGTTTCCTCAAAACACTAAAAATGGAACTCCCATTTGACCCAGTAATCTCACTTCTAGGAATATATCCCAAGAAACCAGAAACACCAATCAGAAAGGATATATGCACCCATATGTTCATAGCAGCACAATTCACCATGGCTAAGATCTGGAAACAGCCTAAGTGCCCATCAGTAGATGAATGGATTAGAAAACTGTGGTACATCTACACGATGGAATACTATGCTGCTGTAAAAAAGAAGTAACTCTTACCATTTGCAATGTCATGGATGGAACTGGAGAGCATTATGCTAAGTGAAATAAGCCAGTCAATGAAGGAAAAACACCACGTGATCTCACTCACTCATGGATAATAAAGACCATTATAAACTTATGAACAAAAATAGATACAGAGGCAGAGCTGCCTCGAACAGACTGTCAAACTACAGCGGGAAAGCCGAGGAGGGTTGAGGGGCGGGGGTAAGAGATCAACGAAGGACTTGTATGCATTCATATAAGCATAACCAATGGACATAAGACACTGGGGGGTAGAGGAGGCCGGGGGATTGTTATGGGTGGGAAAAAAAGGAGACACATGTAATACTCTTTATAATACTTTAAGCAATAAAACAATAAAAAAAAAAGAAAACAATAGAAAAGGGTAAATAAGGTGCGGTGGGGAGATAAAAGATATAGTACCTAAAATCAAAGGAAAAAACTGCTCAGCCTGATTTCAAAAACATCTAAAGATGACTTGGACCTTTTCTATCATCACAGAGAGAATATTCATATACTGTAACATTAATATTCATATATTCATGTTACAATGGAAAATTTTCAGGGCTATTAGAAGATTTTATCTACTAACACATCTCTTAAGTACAATCAATTTCAAAACAAATTACCAGGTGTTCTTAGTCAAACTGCTAGACATTATCATTGTTATTTGGATATACAAGATAAGCAATTATTATGGCAAAGACAAATACCAACAGCAAAAAATCTCCATGCTTCATGATTCTTACCTGTTCACTCTCCTAGGACACTTGTCTGGTTTAATATCTACCTCATAGAGGTAGACATCAATCTTTGGGATTTCAACTTGAAAACAGTTAGCCAGCAATTTAATGGGTTTGCCCATGGTGCCATAGCCAGGTCTTCTGGGCACCATGAGTAGGGGCTGGGCCCCAACGGGTCCTGCAACAGAAAGGGGGAAATAACACCATTACAGACTACACTGGATAATCTTGTCAATCAGAGTATGTTAGAACTTTAAATAAGTTGGGTAATGGGGCTGAAGCCTACTGCTGAAAGATAACAATTTCTAGCATCTCTACTTCTTTCCTCCCCAATTTATTCTCCTTATTAAAACAAACATACATATAAACAAACAAAACCCTGGGTGCTCCTGGAAAATTGTTTTGGAAGGGGTAGAAAGAAGGAAGAGCAATCACACAAACTCAGGAGAACATGTACAAACACAAATCAGATCCAAAGAGTGTGATACCTAGAGCATAACAAACTCAGAAAGTAGAATAAGAATAAATGAACGAAATAAAAACAATATACGATAAAAAGTATCAGCAAAGCACAGAATCAATTATTTGAAAAGATAAATAAAATCTATAAATCCCAGGCAACACTGATTTTTAAAATAGGAGAATTGGCTTAAATAATCAATGTAAGTGTGTGGGGATCATATAACTACAGATACTGAAGATGTTATAAACAGTGTTAATAAATTTAAAGGTTTGATGAAAAAGATATATATATAGCTTACTTACACACAAAAATATGTAAAATATGAAAAGTCCTCTGTTGGCAGAAATGAAAAATGGTACAGTTGCTTTGGAAAACCATACGGTGGTTCCTTAAAACATTAAAAATAGAATAACCATAAGATTCAGCAATTCTATTTCTGGGTATCTACCAAAAAACAATGAAAGCAGGGTGTTGAAGAGATCATTATATACATATGCTCACAGCAGCATTAGTCACAATAGCCAAAAGATGGAAGCCACCTCAATGTCCACTGATGGATAAGTGGATAAACAAAATATGGTATATACGTACAATGGAATATTAGTTAGCCTTAAAAAGAAACGAAATTCTGACACATGCTACAACATAGATGAACCTTGTAGATTTATACTAAGTGAAATAAGTCAGAGAAACACACTGTATGATTCCTATTATTAATACTACAAAGTGGAAGGATGGTTGCCAGGGACTGGGGGAAAAGGAGAATGGGGAATTGATGCTTAATGGGTATAGTTTCAGTTTTGCAAGCTGAAAACAGATCCAGACACTAGCTGCACAACAATGTGAATGTAGTACTTATATACTATGAACTGTACACTTAAAAACTGCTAACATGGGCCCTGGCTAGTGTGCTCAGTTGTTAGAGTTTTGGCCCACACACTAAAGAGTGGAGGATTCGATTCCCAGTCAAGGGCACATACTTGGGTTGCAAGTTCGATCCCCCAGACCCCAGTTGGGATGTGTGCAGTGGGCAACCAATCAATTGATGTGATCTTTCACATCAATCTCTCTCTCACACATAAATCTCTCTCTCCGTCCCTCCCTCTCTTCCATTCTAAGAATCAATGGAAAAAATATTCTTGGATGAGGATTAACAACAACAACAAAAAACTGCTAAAATGGTAAATTTAACATTATGTATATTTTATCACAGTTAAAAAAAAAAACTAAGTGATACCTAACATTAAGTTTTTAAAGCTCAAAATGTTGTAGCTTTGTTAAAGTTCAAATGATAAATTCACTTAATTAATAACTATTATCTCTGAATGAACTTATATTTAAATATCTGAGGCCTATAACTATTTGAAAAAAATGAAATCCACAATTAAAAATATCCAGCAATTCCACTTCTGGGTATTTAGCTGAAGAAAATAAAAACACTAACTTGATGCTCAGCCGGCATGGCTTAGTGGTTGAGCATCAATTAATGAACCAGGAGGTCATGATTCGATTCCTGATCAGGGCACATGCCTGGGTTTTGGGCTTGATTCCCAGTATGGGACCATGAAGAAGGCAGCCGAACAATGATCCTCTTTCTCTCATCATTGATGTTTCTGTCCCTCCCTCCCTCTTACTTCCTCTCTGAGATCAATAAAAATATGTTTAACAACAACAAAATGAAATAAGAGAAAAACATTGGTTGTATGACATAGTTTTGCTAAACCTCAAGTATTTATTTTAAACAATGAGTAGCCAAAGAAAGTCAATATGAACAGACAATGACAGAAAACTGCAGAAACTCCAAATACAGAAAGGCTGTTCATGCATTCAAACAGCATAACCATTATGGTTGAAAAACCACACAATATTCTTTCTCACATGTTTTGTTATTGAGCCAAGAATGTCTATTAAGTATCCTATACAACTGAAATAGAAGTAGGAATCTCTGGTGAATGTTGCTCAGCTCCCAAAAAACTGAGACTAACGAGGTTTGGAAAGGATAGTATTCTTTTCTTTCAAAAAAATTTTTTTGTTATATATTTTTATTGAGTTTTTTACAGAGAGGAGGGGAGAGGGACAGAGAGTCAGAAACATTGATGAGAGAGAGACATCGACCAGCTTCCTCCTACACCCCCCCGCACCCCCCTACTGGGGACACGCCCACAACCAAGGCACATGCCCTTGACTGGAATCCAACCTGGGACCCTGCAGTCCGCAGGTCGATGCTCTATCCACTGAGCCAAACCAATCAGGGCAAGGATAATATTCTTTTTTTTTTTTTTTTTGGTCAAACTGGTTTAATTTTATTAATTAAATCTTTATTGTTCCGATTATTACATTTGTTCCTTTTTTTCCCCCCATAACTCCCCTGCACCCAGTTCCCACCCCACCCTCCTCCCTCACTCCCCACCCACTGTCCTCATCCATAGGTGCAAGATTTTTGTCGTCTCTTCCCGCATCCTCCTCACCCTTTCCCCCCACACGAGAATAGCCAGTCCACTCCCTTTCTATGCCCCCGATTCTATTATAATCACCGGTTCATTCTGTTCATCAGATTATTCACTTGATTTTCAGATTCTCTTGTTGATAGATGTGTATTTGTTGTTCATAATTTGTATCTTTACCTTTTTCTTCTTCTTCCTCTTCTTAAAGGATACCTTTCACCATTTCATATAATACTGGTTTGGTGGTGGTGAACTCCTTTAGCTTTTTCTTATCTGTGAAGCTCTTTATCTGACCTTCAATTCTGAATGATAGCTTTGCTGGATATAGTAATCTTGGTTGTAGGATCTTGGCATTCACTACTTTGAATATTTCTTGCCACTCCCTTCTGGCCTGCAGAAAGTTTCTGTTGAAAAATCAGCTGACATTCGTATGGGTACTCCCTTGTAGGTAACTGAGTTTCTTTCTCTTGCTGCTTTTAAGATTCTCTCTTTGTCTTTTGCTCTTGGCATTTTAATTATGATGTGTCTTGGTGTGGTCCTCTTTGGATTCCTTTTGTTTGGGGTTCTCTGCGCTTCCTGGACTTGTAAGTCTATTTCTTTCACCAGGTAGGGGAAGTTTTCTGTCATTATTTCTTCAAATAGGTTTTCAAGATCTTGCTCTCTCTCATCTTCTGGCACCCCTATAATTCTGATGTTGGTACGCTTGAAGCTGTCCCAGAGGCTCCTTACACTATCTTCGTATTTTCGGATTCTTTTTTCATTTTGCTTTTCTGGTTGGGTGTTTTTTGCTTCTTCATATTTCAAATCGTTGACTTGATTCTTGCAATCCTCTAGTCTGCTGTTGGGAGTCTGTTTAATATTCTTTATTTCAGTCAGTGTATGCTTAATATCTAGTTGGTCCTTTATCACAACCTCGAGGGTCTCATTAGATTTCTTGTAGATCTCATTAAGTTTATTGGTAGTTTCTAGAAAATTCTTGAAAAACCTTAAAAGTGTGGTTTTGAACTCTATATCCAGTAGTTTGCTTTCCTCCATTTCTGTCATTTGTGTCCTTTTTCTTTGTCTCTGCATTTTTTATGCTTCCCTGTGTTGATAAAGTGGTTTTCTGTGCTGAGTGTCCTCTAGGGCCCAGTGGTTCGGCCTCCCCAATTACCTGAGGAGGACACTCTTGGTGCACCCCCTTGTGGTCTTTGTGCACAGTCTTGTTGTAGTTAAGCCTTGATTGTTGTAGTTATCACTGGGAGGAATTGACCTCCAGGCCAATTGGCTGTGAGAATCAGCTGTGTCTGCAGTGGGAGAACTTCTGTGCTGGAGACACCCCTCTGGGGCAAGACTTGCTTCAATGGGGCTTTGGTGCTCACTGAGTCTGCCTCCTGAGTGTGTCCTTTATGTTAGCACGGAGCTGCAAACTGGATGGTCCCACTCTGACCTCTGGGTTTCCTGGCTCCTGGATCTCTAGGAGGTGCTAATCTAGCCTTTGCCTGAGGCTATCCAGCAAAAGCCTCCCTGAAGGGCTTGGGTGGGGCAGGTCCCATGGGATCAACAGTGCGGGGCTAGCAGTTATGGCTGCTCTCAGTCCTGCCCTCAGAGGCTCTGCTTCTCAGTGTACCGGCAATGGCTGCAAGCCCCTCTGAGAGAAAGCTGCCCTCAAGTTCCGACCGATGCCAGACAGTCCCGCTTCCCCGGTATGAGTCTGGGTCCCTAGAGACTCGCCGGAACTGGAGCTCAGATCCTGAGACTCCCTCCTGATTGAAAACGACAACCCCGTCCTCAGCCGCCAGCCCGCTCCGCATGCACCTCGCACCTTAGTATTTTACTTCCGCACTGTGCCTTCTCTGAGTCTCGGTATGCTTTTCTCTTTCCTTCTAGTTGTAGAATTTCCACTCAGCCAGCTTCCTGTGGTTCTGGATGATGTCCGTTCTGTCTTTTAGTTGTATTTTTGAAGTGGTTGTTCAAGGCAGCAATCTCCTGTGTTTAACTATTCCGCCATCTTGATTTTCCCAGGATAATATTATTAAGTAAATTATCTTTTTAGTTTTACCATTATGAAAACAGAACTATCACTTGTCTTTTTTCTCTTTATCCATTAAAACAAACAACAATGAAGAAAAAAAAAACTTCCAAGTTACTTAAATTCCTAATCCTATATAATCCTATATAATCAAGCCCTAACATGCAAATAGACCGAATGGCAGAACAACCAGTCACTATGATGCGCAGTGACCACCAGGGGGAAGACGCAACGCAGGAGCTGTCCCCATTGGTCAGTGT